CTCGCGTGCACTATGTGGCCGAAGGCGGGGGGCAGCAGCCTAGCTTTTGCAAGGGAAGGCCAACCAGATGCTGCATTAGGACCTCTTTCCAGAGCATGATACCATAGTCTTTTGAGACTGAGGGATGCCAACCATATTGTCCCTTATGTTCAACAATATGCCATTGCCATGACCATAATACTGTATATGTTGTGACAATGTGTTCGAGAAGTTTTTCTCCCTCTCTGAAGAGCTTATGTCACCCTTCTTTTTATCTGTTTCACTCTCAAAAGAAGATATTTCTCATTTATTGATTGCATGCTATACATGAGTTTGCTTGTGGTGGGACTTTTATTTGATATAAAGGTACATTGTTGGTTGCTTATATTTTATAAATGGTTTTTAATGCTTTCTTTTGCAGAATAAGGATGATGTAAATGGTCCAAATAAAGATAGTCAAAAACCCATTAATTGAAGCAAGTAAAAATATCCTTAAAGCAATAATAACTAATGATTTTCATGGTATCTCCATCACCAAAGTCAATCAGAAGATAGCTGATCCAATCCTACATTCCTATTAACTCTGGCTATATCACTGACAGATTATGTGAATAATTTTCCTTACATTCCACTGGATCCTGTACAGGACAAAGTTCAATTTCAAAAAAACATGGTTTATATAAGTATGCCTTCCTATTCTTTAAAATTATTAAGTGCCACCTGTATGTGTGATCTAAAATAAGATCAAATACTAATTGAGCCTATATTTCACAGGATTCTAGTAGCAAAGAAACTGATCCTTATGCAAAGACCATTGTTTTGACTTCTGTATTATTTGATTTGTCTAACTAAATTAACCATGACTTCTTAGCATATTTTTCACATGAGGTTGTGATTGACTGTTCAGTGCCAAATGAGTGTTTAGTTATCCTATAGTTATATCCTATAACTAAACATTTATTTCTTTGTTAAGTTTAATTTTGCAATTAGAACTCATATACATAGTATGTGTGTTTACGTGTGTATATATAAACTTATATGCAGATACAAAACAAATATGGTGACTTGGTTGTGAAATTCTGTAGTTCTCTAATTGCCTGTCTGTCAGATTAAGCTATTATAGAAAATAATTGTTCATGAAGAATGCTTACAATATTTACGTACCAAAAACATATTGATCAAAAAATAAAGAAGAGTTGCAAACAACCAGGCGATATTTTTTTTAAAAAAAAATGTCATGTAGTCGTTTCAGGAATAGAAATTAGTTTTTAAACTGAAGGATTGAGAAGGTTCTCAAGGAAAGCAAATTCAATTCAATTCAACTCTTCTGCATATTTTGAAGATCAGCAAAGTATATTTTCTGTTGCTCAATTTTCTGGATGATTTCAGTGTAATTATTATTCCAAATTCTGTTTTTTTTTCTTTGTAAGAAAACAAAATGCAAGTTATTCATGTGAAACATATTCCCATCTCCCCACATCTCGCCAAAAAAAAGTACAAAAAAATTGAATGCACATTTGTGGTTCCTGTGGGATAAACGTTCAGCAAAGATTAAAAGTAATGTCAGCTCTGTGTTACAGAATGTTAACCAGACACAGAGAGCTAAAATAGCTTTTCTAGATCTCTGCCTATTCATTCACATTTGCTTATCTGAAAAATGAATTCTACAATATAGATCATGTAACCCAAACACTGCATGTAACTGTGTAATAGTTGCCAATTTATCAATGAAAAAAATCTAAAATAGCTCTCATACTTCTATGCAAAACTGGCCATTTTGCATACATTTGATTAAGTCATTCTAACATCAGCTTAACATATGTTAAGTCCTGGCCTAAATAGATTAACAAACTACTTCACTAACATTGGGCACTGTTGGGTAATTGCTGTAAGTTTTTCCCCAAAAGCTATACAGAAATACAGAGACAGTAAAAACCACAAATGCTTTCTAAAGTTTTGCCAAGTGATTTTTAAACAGTTATATTACCATGAGTAATCATAAGACATGTACTGTTGCAGAGATATCTAAATAACTTTAATCTGATTATGCAACAAGGAAGTTATCTCTTTTAAGTTTTTTTTTATTTATATGACTTTGAAAAGCAATTCAGAATGCAGGTGTTCATAAAATTGCAAGAATAACAAGCTCTGCGAAATCTCCAGTAGTGCTTCCAACAGGTCAGAAGGTTTTAGAGTTGACATAAGGTGATAAACAAGTTAGAACTAAGCCTTGGCACTGGCACATAACCAGAATTTTTGCTTTGTTTTATGCATATAACCTAGATCTGAGATAAACACTAAAGTTAATTTACACATATGTGAGTATAGATGCAGATAACTGTTCTATGCCTGCTGAATCTATACAAATAAATTTGATCTGCATGTAAAGGATCAGACAGAAGTAACTCATCATTTTAATGACACACTGATATATTCTCTGAGTCACTTGTACACATTCCAAAGAGTGTTGAAGAATATACCCTTGCCTTACACAATTGAGAAATCTTTATTAGGCATTATTCTTGCCATTTATGAAACAAGGTTCACTGGAACCCACAAAACATCTTTAGCACGATCAATATGAAAGCTCATTGAGACAGGCAAGGTGCTCTTTAGGCAAATCTGTAGACCATTTACTGTATGTTATTTTACTCAAAAAATCATTAATAAGGTATTCTGGAAGCCTCAGAACAAGGTACTGGAAGTCTGCTCAATAGGCAAGTGTATACAATTCCTACAAATTATATATTTATTCAAACAATTTTTCTAAAGAGTCACATTTATTATATTTACTCATCACAATATTCCATTAACAAAACAAAAACAAAACAGTCCAAGTTACCTTGAATACCATGGGAAAAACTTTAATGAGTGTTTTGGTTTTTTCTCATATCAGCACCAAATACAATTCTTAGGCACAATAGAAGTTTGAAGTACAAAGAGAATACAAAGGGTTTGAAGCTTTTTCTTGTAAGACTTGTACAAGTATAGTACGTTTACAAACATAAGTAATTTGCTGTGAGCTGTAGGTTACATCCAAGGAACAGCAATGTTAAACTATAAAAACAGATAGTAGGGTAACCCTACTATCAGTAACCCCAATTTTGGGGGTTTAGGTTAAAAATTTCCTAACTGATCCATCAGTTTAAGTTTCCATATGTAGTCCTGCTGTAGATAGACAATACTACTGCCATTTTTCAGTAAACTCTTTAGAAACCAAGGAAGAAAGCCAAAATTTCTCCACTTTCCTTCTGATTCATACACCTGACTGAGGTTTGGCATGCATAGCTATTTTTCCTGATATGTTTTGGAGTCGACTGGAACCACTAGTTGGATTTATGTATCATCAATGTTTTACAAACTTGGCAATTTTAAGATGTTCCAAGTCCCGGAATTTCCCAGTCAGCGAGCTGCCAGGTAGGAAAAACTTTGATGTATTATTCTATGTATATATTTGATTTGGGCTAAGTGTTTCCTATGAAATGTATTTATTATGGTTTGAAAATCCTGGCTAAATGTCAGCAAATCTATCAAGGACTAAGTTACTTTGCGTAAAAGAAAATTATTATAGAAAGCAATCCCAACAGTGATGATAATTATGAGTCTATATATTTATATGATAGTTTATTAATTAAACTTATCTACAAAATCTAAATATGAAGATCAACCGACCAGAGTATTTACAATTTTACAAAATGTTTTACAAGTAACACTGCCTCAAAATAACATGGCACACAAATAATTCTTTTGTATTACATAGATAAATAAATACTCACTTTTAAATGACTGTTATAAAAATGTAATTTCTACAGTCAGCTGAGTTAGCAAATATGTGGCTCTGTTTTCTTTATGCTACCTTATAATTAGACAAAAGAGAGGAGTATTTTTACATATAGATAATCTATTAATTATTTTTTAAATTGTACCTTACCATTATATTCAACAGAGGTAAACAGTCATACAACTCATGCCTCTAACTGAATTATGATTTTTGGCATGCAAAACCTATAGATCCAACAACATCTGGAGGCATTAATTTCCTTTTTTAAAAAAAATTAAGTTTGAAGTCTTAAAAAAACATGCAACCATTAAAAGCATATTTCTGGAATATAATGTACAACTTATATGACATTTATAGTTATACGTCTACAGGCATTAATCAAAGATTTAAGAATACTTAGACAAATAACATAAAAGTAATGCCATCTAAAATAAATAAGTTATCATCACAACTGCTTTTATATGCCCTTTTTTAAAATATGAGGAAATAAAATGAAGTTGCTAACTTCCATTCTTACATTTTTTGAAGATTAATTTGTAATTAAATTCCACTCCTGCGTAAAAGAGCACTAATATAGCTTGATAAATCTTCATGTTTTCAATACAATTGTTTTAAAAATCTGATTAACGGAAACTGATTAATAGCTTTTTCGATATATTTTCCACACACATATATAACAATTGTTTTCAACTGAACGAAGAAACAAATTGCACCAAACAGTATTGTGTTGGCAGCATTTGGCAATTTCTGCTTTTTAAAGAGTCAAATCATTGAAAACACTGAACTAATTTATAAAACATACTGTAGACACCTAAAATCAAATTGGTCTTATTTGGAACAAAACTTCTGTTTTAATAAAATCGTTGTTGTTTTGTTTTAAGTTAGAAAAATAAAAACATTGAAAGTTAATACATAAGGACTACCTCTTGCTAACTTGAACCTTTTTTGAAATGTCTTTTCAGTGTTTTTCATTATCTGAATGAAAACCAGCTATTATTATATATAGACTCTTAAGCATATTTTATGCATGCAAGTCTTTACAGATGTAGCAAGTAATGAATATGTGCAAATCTTCTCTTAATCCTATCTCCATAGACAAGCTGTCAAATATATGCTTACAAGTACCATACATTTTCTGAAATAATTCAAAGATCTTGTTTTCCTATATGCTCTTCAAAAACATTTATTTGGCCTCTTTTTTTCCTTTAAGAAAGAGGGATATTTTAATCTTATTTATGAAAATTAAAAAATAACATGTCTTGTTATTGATTAAAAATGTATGCAAAAAAGTGTCGCAGTCCTTTAATTTTTTTACTGCAGTGGTTATGGACAGCATTGTTTTTCCCTTCACTTGATATACATTAAAGCATGTAATGGAGAAATAGTCCCTCTAAGAATACAGGATGCTACTTTTTTCTAATAAACAAGATGAAGATTAAAAATTAAATCTGAAGTGTGATCTAAAACTGTATTGTTAAAACATATGGTAACTATTTAGTTAATAAAGTGTGTCCATCATTGTATAATTCAATAAAGTTTTATTTAAAGATGCAGGAAATTTTCAGATTTAGCTTAATTCAATTGATGCCATCAATATTTTATTATTTAATAAAATAACTCTGACTTCATGAACTTGGTCAACACCAATCTTCTCCCTGTACGAGGATTCAGTTTTTCTGAGTAATTACATAAGGATCCTTCTATTTGCCAAAGATATTCCTATAGTGAAATGAAAAACAAGCTCCTTCTGGGGGGAATATACAGTGTCTATATTGTTGGATGCAAAGAAATATCTTTATTGGTGGTCAAGTTCTGAAAAGGGTAACTATAAAATGTCTGGTTTCTCTTCCTTTCTGACATAACTTTGCAGTATCAATAGCTTCTTCTACAGAACTTAAATGTTGCCAGGCTAGAGTTCCGTTTTGTTACCTTGTGGGAATGTACAAAAACCTACATCCATTTCCTCTACCATCCCAGCCCTCTAATAGGCCATTATTTGCATAAACCAAGAAAGCTACTTCTTAATGTGACTATGAGATACCAAGATGGTGGCCACAGATGATGGTAGAAGGAAGACTCCCAGGAATTAGCATGAGGCAATTCCTGGTAATAAGAATGGGAAGTGGTAAAGGGAAAGAAGTTGTCCAGAAGAAATGCTGGAAAACTGTTTTAGTTCCCTATGTTTCAAAATGTCATGGAACAACTTGAAGCACCCAGGTGTAAAAAGGCCCTAGATCTTACATGACAAACCTCTTCTAAAGTAAAAGTCTAGTTCAAAGTCCTTAACCTCAACCCCCCACCTTAAATTCATTCATTTCATAATATATTCGATGATACTAGTAGCAGCTAGCTATAAGACAGACGTTATTTACATTTCAATTAGTATTGTAGTGTTGCTTTAAGTATTCCATCTGGTTTCAGTTCCCAGTCTGAAAAACTTCTGGAAAAAACAACAGTTTGATCATTTTTCTTCATAACTCAGGAAAAACAATCTCCACTTAATGAAACCCTCAAAAGTTAATGTGTCTACTTCATGGAAACAATATAATATTTCTTCATCAAATGGACAGGAATATTTCCCCATTTAATGGGATTTCTGAAAGCAAATTAGATAGAATATTGAAATTCTACTCAGCTATTAAACAGATATTATTAGGCCATGTATATCATATATCATGAAATAGACGGGGATTGTTGTTATGCTTTTCCTGCAGCAGCCACAGATAACTTGGATGGACTGATCTGTTTAAAAAGCATGTAAAGATATTAATGGGAAGTGATAAAGCAGGGTGTCATGTAGCATATGCAACAGTAACAGGTAATTGATGTCTATGTGTGTATCTGTGTGTGTGTGTGAGAGAGAGAGAGAGACAGAGACAGACAGAGAGAAAATAGATGCTGAATGCTCTGATAAATGAATACAGCTGATCTTTGCATTATATACTATACTGTACTGTACATAACTCAATAAAGGTGCATTTTTCTGATCTTCTTTCAAGAACTTCTTCGCATTGTTTTCCAGCTGATTAATTATTTATGGCAATTTAGTATTTTTCAGGGGGTGATTTGTAGTGATGTGGATGGTGCTGCTTCAGATGAGGTCCTAAAAAGAAAAAAAATACTATTTACCCTAGTTCATAATTATTAGTTGTTAACAATTCTTAAATCCCTACAGGTTTGTCCTACAACAGTATAACGTTGTTGTTTTTCTGGCCAAAACAATATTATTCTGTGACTTTTATTAGCTTCAGAAGTAAATCAATTAATTTTTATTTACTTCAGCACACACACACCCAAGAAAACTCCAAACTGTGAGCTACTTGATGTTCCTTACCTATTCCCTATAATCTGAATCAAAATTCTCTGAGTGACCTAAGAAAACTGGATACTGATACAATTAGGGTTTGATCAGGGATCCATTTCATACACTGTCAAAGTATGTGAAATACTGTGGAATCAGTTTTGGTATTTATTTATATTATTTTACATTCATACATACATACAATTTTTGGGCTGCCTGACTCCAAACAACTCTGGATGCTTAAAATAAAAAATACGAAAAGGCATAAAGATCAAAAGATATCATGAGCATCCCTAAGACAACATATGACAAGAAAAAAGCTCATTCATCAGAGCCTCAACCTTTACAAGTGAAGGTCTGTATACTCTATGTCTTCATCCCATAACAAACTATAGAAAATAGTCATAAAGCAAGGATGAGAACTGCTGCAAAATGGTGCCTCCACATCCAAAACTTGCAGCTGGCCCAGATGATTACTGAGATCAATGACATTGAAAGTGCTTAGAGATCAAGGAGCACAAAGAAGGATGTACCCTATTCCAGTTCTGCCATGATACCAACAACAAGTCATCTTCTGGCTAGCCTTGACCAATCATGTTGGACAAGGATCAAACAGATGTCCAACAATCATGTTGGACAAGAACAAACAGATGTCTTAAAGAACTAAGAAGATCCTTTTGTTTGATTTAGAGAGTTCTTGAGAAAGAGCATAATTCTGAGTTTAATAGGCTTAGCCTAGTCTATTAAGCTTTTGACTTTCTTGAATAACCTTGAATAAGTCCTTTTTTTCTTGCTATCTTTTTCTAAATATGCAGAAGATTTGACAGCAATTGCTACATCCCAAATAATTGTGATCATCAGTGAAGTAAAATCCTGTTTTTAGTATTATCATCCTTTCTTTCTTCCCCCTCACAGGGCCATCCATATGCAATAGAAATTCACATTTTCTGATTGTGAATATATTTTCCAACACTGCTTAGCATTGCCTTAAAACTTCTGATTCAAGCAACCAGAATCACTTGTAAATAGCCTCAGGCTGTAACTTTATTGTTTGAATCTATGTCCCAAGAACCTCACCAGACTGCTTCCCTTTCCCTGGGAACAACTAGTTAAGGCTTCACGCCACTTGCAGCTGTACAATGATTCCAAACTAGCCCCTCACTTGACCCTCCTTCGGCCTAGCTAGCAATTCCCCAGGATCAATTCTTCATGTTCTTATCTGGCAAAACAGAATTACCCACCTTAGATCTCTTTGTTTTTATTATGCCTATTACAAATAACAAGAAAACAATCTATGAATAATATGAATTAAATATACCTAGTTGGCCCATATCTCAAATGAAACAAACATGTACCCTCATGAGTATTGTAGTCTAAGATGTTAACTGTTTTGGTGTAATATTGGCAAGTTGAAGTACTCATTGAACTTGGAAAAGTATACTTTTTTTACTAGCATCATGAATAGAATTTGAATGCTTAATAGATCACATAAATAATTATAATAATTATGAATTGATTTCATACTAACCCATAACAGTTTTGGATTTCTATATTTGCCAGTGTATCAAGAAAAAGACTATGGCTGAATGATAGAAAAAAGTGTATGTGAAGAAAGTTCACCTCCCAGAAATTCCAAACAGGATTACCAAAGATTCCTGTCTGAAGCTCTGGAGAGACTGCCAATTCTGTAATGTTGTCTGATCATGCATGGCAAAATTGAAGTACTTTCTTCCCTCTCAAAGTTGCTGCTTCCTTTGTCCAAAATGTACTTGAAGATGGCAGATTGCTTGAAAATAGGTCCATACCACAGCTTAGAAAAATCCTAACACTAATGTTTAGCACAGTGTTTCTCAACCTTGGCAACTTGAAGACGTCTAGACTTCAACTGGGGAATTCTGGGAGTTGAAGTCCAGACGTCTTCAAGTTGCCAAGGTTGAGAAACACTGGTTTAGCAGCATAAAAAAATTGAAAAACATTCCAAGATGGTAGTTTTTGATATTCTTGAGTGCAAAGGATAAATATTCAGTGTAACATTTAGAGAACTATAGGAAAGCCAGATATGACAGAAAGTAAAAATTTGGAATGCACCTGTTGATTACATTCTGGATTTTGTTCTAGACAGATTTTACCAACTTTCCTTTGTTGAAACTATTATAATGTAAGATTTAATCCATTAATGAGAAAGACTATAAACAAGGTAAATCAAAGTTGAGTTATATATAAGTTAAGCAGCAATTTCAGACCAACCTGACTACTAATTTCAGATGCAATTATTATTAAGTATTTTTTATCCTAAATAAATCAAAGACTATGTTTGGGCTGTTAGGTCAGATGGAGAAGAGTATGTCTAAAAATACTCATAATGTACTATGCACGAGCCAAGGTGGCGCAGTGGTTAAATGCAGCACTGCAGGCTACTGCTAGATCAGCAGGTCAGCGGTTCAAATCTCACCGGCTCAGGGTTGACTCAGCCTTCCATCCTTCCGAGGTGGGTAAAATGAGGACCCAGATTGTTGGGGGCAATATGCTGACTCTCTGTAAACCGCTTAGAGAGGCCTGAAAGGCCTATGAAGCGGTATATAAGTCTACTGCTATTGCTATTGCTGCTATTCCATATAAGAAAGAGATGCCAATGCATGCATCAGAATACATTCTTGTAGCATGTCAACACTCACTCTGTGGTGATATCAACAAATTGGGTGTTCGAAATGATTTTATTGTAGCTGGTCCCTCACCACTTGTGGTTAATGCTTGAACCTCTAAACGGTAAAGAGTTGATGGTCTTAGATTGGGTACTGTCAACATATGGTGATCCTAAAAGGAAATGGAAACAATTATTTGAAGTAAAAGAAATATATTTGAGTCATTCAGCATCATCAATAACTCAGCTTCTCCCTTGCTTCTTCTCTCCTATCTATCCCTCTCCCCTACTGAAGAGGTACAGACTTACTACTGGCAATATTTGTGATTGGGAGATAATGCTGTTTGGTAAGCTGTTTTGCCTGCTTTCTGTAGTGACTTCTGCCCAAGTGACTTGAAATCCTGTCATTGGTTGGTGAAGATTTGTTTTTGATATTTTCCAGGAAAAGTGGCCTGTAATATTAATGTCCTGAACAATAAAAGCAGCAGAAAGATTCTCTGGTTTTGCCAATATTTTTGAAATAACAGGATCTGTAAAACAAACAGCACCACAAAGAGAGTAGTTAGCATCTCTCTCTCAATCTTATGTACAATTTTAAAAAGATATACATAAAATTAAGAGAGACTACAACAATATGTCATATAAACTTCGCTCTTTTATGAGGAGGATGGAATGCTTACTCTCAAATGAATTGCTCACTATATCATTAATTTTATCTACCATGAATATAGTATTGTTTCACAAATTACACTTTAATGAGTAAACATTACCACAAATTTTAATTTCATGATTTGATATTGTTCTGTAAATGATATAGACCCATTTATATTATTATATTATATAGTATTATGTAAATCAACATTATCTATATGTTTTATATATGACTAAAATGTGTTTTTTTAAAAAACATAGGGTAACTACTTTATTACTATTTATTGAATTGGGTACAATGAAAACATTGTGTAATTTATTTATATAAAATTTAAACAGGAAACATATTCTTCTTTCATATTGTAAAAAATACCAATTAATATTTGAAGATATTAAATTCATTGTATGGCTATAAGGATATCAAATATCAAAATTATAATATCATTTGTATTATATTCTGATCCACTTAAAACTAATTAAATATGATACATTTGAGGCCAATGCAGTTATCGATCTTGTTCTGGAATAAGCATGTATGTATTTTATAGTGTATAAAATATAAAATAAAATTCCCTATTCCTGATCAATCCCACATTCTGTTCTCTAAATGTCCAATGCTTTTGGAAATTTTTTCTTGTTGTTTAACCAAGAAAAAACTTGGTTTTAAAACCAGCATTTCCCAAATATTCTTTTGGCTTTAGTTTCAAAGGTGAGTCATGTGACTCACTCAAAAACGTAAGATGTTGGAGAATATTTGACAGCATTTAGTATTTAGTAAAAGTTTTAACAAATGTTAAGATAATTTTGGTACCAGAATTGAAACGATTACTTACAATACTGTATTTTTCTATCTAAGAAATTCCCCAAAGACATGTGACCTATCAAAGAAACTATAAAATGTTTGGAGGTAGCTAAACCAGTTGTGAAAGGAATCACATCTTATCAAGTTTTTTAAAAACATACAAATGTGTAGCATTTTTATGTATCTAATGCATAAACTGTATTCTTCTGTTACATATAAAACTTGTAAAATAATTCTATTTAATGTAGCGTAAAAAGAAGAAGGTAGTAATGAAGGTCATATTGAGAACTTCTAACTTTCTGTCTGTAAAATTACATTACAAAGAAAATTAAACTTGTGGTTGTTTCTTTTGCATTTTGTATTCTTATTAATTAAGCTGCTTTTGCAATACTAATTAGTACTTGTAAGTGGTTACATTAAGAATTTTAAAGGTCTTCATATAATGATGGAAGCAATTCATTTTAAAAACTGGTGTTTGAATGTTTAGTTACTTAAGTATTTTATGTCACTGTAAATTGTTTTGAATCTTACCTCCTTTAGCCACACAGCTTACATACTTGTGTTTTTTCTCTTTTAGATCAGAACAAGATGGAGTCATAAAGAAAATGCTTTCAGATTTCAACTGACCATTGGATCTTACTGGCTGAACTGTAACCTTATACTTGCATGAAAAGGACAGGTTCTGAAGAATTATATAGTTTTCCTATGAGAGACATAAACTACTTCATTATCCTCATTTTGCGTTTAAATTTAATATTTTCCAAGCCATCAATGCAAAAATACATTTTTAAAAAACAAGACAGTTTACAAAACATGTAAATATTCTCATATATCATTTATTTATTATAGGGAGATGAAATAGGTGATGAAATAGAAAGGGCTGAAGGCAACACATTCAGCCCAAATCTCTAGATGACTTCTTCATACAGAGGAAATTTCATAATATGGCACAAGTTGAAAAGGGGAAAAAATGTGCCACATATTTCAATGGAGCCGCAAATGATAGTGTTCTTCAATATGAATTCCTCTACCACATAGGTGGGCAGTAATCTATCCAAAAGCTTGCACAAACACATGTCTATTTGGTAGAAAGGAATAAAAAATAAACTATATTGGATAATTTAATCCAATTAAGTGCATGAAGACAATAGTTGATTTTTGCAAAGCATACTTGAGAATTAAACACAATATTTTATTTAATAGATGTAATATTACACTGCACATTGCACTACACACTGCACTGCACATACAGGAAAAGTTTTTGATTGCTATTAATAAGGATTTTCTAACTGATTTTTTTTCTAAATGAATTTAAATAACTTGTAAAAGTTGATAGAAGAAAATATACAAAAATCTGCATCAATTAAATGGAAAGAATATAGCTTGTTCTACCTAATCCTACAAAAATCAGTTTGTACCACAAACAAAAGATGGAACAATTCTCTTCCAATCTCAACTTCTTGAAATAACCATAATTGGTAAGAATCACAATGAATCAATACTTCTCTTTATGATGCCTTAAATAATTACATATTTAAAATTACAAGTGTATGACTTCAAGTGCTAGCAATCTGGAGTCACAGCTAGGATAAAGTTGGACAAGTAGACAAATTCTTGAACTTCTTGTTAATTTCCCCAAGGCATACTACTATATTTGTTCAACAAACTTCAGAAAAATGGAAACAGAATTCATAACAGTTTTAATAGATGCTTTTTTTTAAAAAAAGATTCAATTTCCCCTACAAAATAATCCCAGAAAACCTAGTGTTATCTTCATCTACAGTACAATTGCCATCCCAGATGCAGTTAGTAACCATCCAAAAAAATTAATTAACAATCTTGTTCTTCATCATAACAAATAAACTAAATCAACCAGCCTTCCTCAACACAGACCACTTCAAAGGATTCAAGTCACATAATACACATTTATTAGAGTTAATGGCCAATTGGCCATATTCAATCTATAGCAGGGTTGTCAAACTTGTGGCATCACGGTGGCATCATGTGATGTATCACGCCTTTCCCCCCCTTTGCTAAACCAGGCTTGGCCAGCGTGTGACGCATCCGGGTTGCAAGTATGCCAGCCCTGATCTATAGGAACTGCAACCAAATACATGTGGAAGACTCTGAGGAACTGAAGTTACAATAGCTTTTCATTACAAAGGACAAAATGGATGCTTTGAAGCATAGAATAAATTTGTATTTGAAATGTAAAGGGAACATAATGGGATCTTTAAAGGTCATTTATTCTCTTCCTCACAAAATAGAGGATCATATCATTACAGTTTTTGATATTTAAAACTTAACTTACATATGTTACATCATTGAATTTTTCAGGTTCTTCGGTACTGTTGTAAGAACATAATTCTGGGAACCACTGAACATGATATCCTTCCCTGCTGGTTGCATCTATCAATGAAATAACATAACAAGGGAAAGGTAATAGAAGCGTACACTTAAAAATCTTCAATTTTTTTAATAGTTCATGCAGAGATACACATAAATACTGGATATATTTATCATTTATAGGAAAAATATATAAAATGAAAATATATATGCCTTTTAAAATATTGGGAGCAATAATGTCTGAGCAAATTCCAAATATCTCAGGTTGACCTGTTGAATCAGTTTTTACACAGCTGTGTTGCACCATTAAAATATTACCCAGGAGAATGGGATTTGCAGTTTTAAAAGTCCTCCAAAAAGTGGAAATGGAAATTGCAGAAAAATAGACACAATTCTATACTAAAGAATTATTACAAATTTATGACAGAATGCTACCCATTTAGATAATCTAAATATATAAGAGTAGGACAGAACAAAAAAGGTAAATTAATCATTTTTCTAATATTCATTTCATTCTGCATGTGATTTTACTAAGTTGCTTTTTAAAAAATCATGAAAGTACTCTCTCAATTTTCTTCATTTCTAGTTTTTTCCCATAGATGGGAAACACAATCATGCAGATTAATCTGCATTTAGTTGCCAGGCTGACAACTTTGATATCCATACTCAATGCATGTTCAGGTTTCAAAGCACCTGGGGTAGTAGGAAGCAAGATTTGGAGCAAGATAAGTCTGGCCTGCTTATGTGAATTAAGAAGGCATGACAGTCATGATAGAGAATTGTTAATACATTTTCTTCATGAAAATACACTGCATTTAGAATGCAGACTGTCATATCAATCATATGAAAACCAAACAGTGATGTTTAAACTATATTATGTGCTACACCTATTTGCAGCTAACTATTTTGGCTCTGCTCAAATGCGTACAATGAGTAACTCAAAAGCAATGCAAGATAGCAGTATCACATATTTCTTTCTTATGCAGAAAAAAAAGCTTCAGTAGAACTTTTGTTTACTTTCCCATAATATTTGTTTTATTCTGTCTTACTTTTCCAAGCAATCCAGTTTAACAAGTTTATCTCACATATTTCAAGATCCCTTTTTTATCTTAACTAAATTTATTATTTGCTTTATTCTAGGCAAACATTAAAATAAGTAATTCAGATGCTAAGTTCATTGATAGTTTTTTAAGATATAGGAAGAGTAGACAATCTGAGACCAAACCAAGCACAATTTCCACTGATTAAAGGCTAATGCAACACAGAAAAGCCCTTTTTAACAGAAAATTGACATTATTATGTCAAGCTGCTACATTATCCTTGAAATAGAAGTTTTAAGCCATGCTGAACTGAAATGTAAGTTTAGAACACACATCTAAGTACATACCACTAATGCAAATCTTTGCCTATACAATTGTGCATCCTATACAATTGTGCTAGGGCTGTTCCAGTGCGTTATTGCTAATGCCTTCTGCAACTGAGATGACTTATGACTCAGTCTTGTTATTCAATAATCTGTATGTATACAAAGAAAGATACAGGCTATGATCAAGCTAAAAATTTGGGGGTGAGTTCGGAAATTGTAACTATGCTCTGGAGTTTTTTTCAGATGATTTGTTCTAAATACTGCAATAGGAAACTGATGTTCACATCCACTCTGAGATTCTACATGGCAATGCTTTTCTCATCTTGACCATCAAAGGCCATGGCTAGGTCATTTCTTGAGTCATTTGTACAGCAATATTAGTCTCCCATAGGGAATCTTCTACAGATCACTTAACTACCATTTCCTTTTTAATATAGTTAATGGTTTCCTAGACCCATTAAGATTCTGACTGATCTGTCAAGAGAAACCTTGTACCTGAAACAAAGAACAAAATGCCTCTATAATTGATTAACAAAGATAACCTGATTTGTGTTTTATCCATTGTCCTATATGTTTATCGACGTTGATAACAAGTATTGGAATGCTGCAATTCATAGAAATGAGTGGCCTAATCAAACATTTAGAATCAGTATTGACACAAGCCCTGATTTAGTCAGAACATGAGAATTCAAATGGCATTTTCTCTTTACTTGTATCTATTAACTCAGGGCACAGGAAGGATACAGGTGGCTATAGAAGAGGGCATGGCCAGAAAGTCTAATACAGACAGTGGTACAAGTTTAATAAGGAAAGTGGTTAGTTCTATTCCTACAGCAGACTTCATTACATGCCTTTCTGCCTTCTCAATGAGCCAGCAACTTCCTTGCATCAGTGGAAATAGTGGTGGTAAGCAAACACATTTTTTCTTTTCCTTTCCTTTTGCTACATAGCTTTTGATTCTAGTTAATATGCCCACCAACACCATCTCCATTGCAGCAAGAGAGTTGCTGCCTCCATAGATGTAATACGAAGGAGGGTGGTTATGCCAACAGTTTATGGGAAAAATACCACTGAACAGTCATAGTAACTAAATCAACTTTAGGTTTCTTTTGCTTAGTTTGGAGATCCTTAATCTACTTCTACAGATTTCCCCCCTCTGTATTATAGTAACCCCCGAGGAAGCTAGAAAATGGAAACATAAAACTGCTATTATTAGGGTTGAAAAGATGAAAAAAACCTTTCAACTATGGCATTTAGGTCAAATTAAGACTATAGAAAAAGGGGGTCATATTGATGATGAACACTTTATATGTATGTGTACATATGCAAATTAATAGTAAACATAATGCATATTTGTAAGCAAGATTCTTCTCCTCCACTCTCCTCCAAATATATGCTTAGAAGAAAGTTGGAAATTTTTGTTTCTACATTAACTTAAATAATAAATAATAGCTCATATTAATTATAATATGTTGAATAATGCCAACAGTATATCACAAAGCAGTCAGACTTTCTATATTTGTATATCTAAAATTATCAGGAAGCTATCTGAATCAGTGTTTATTAATAACCAACAAATTATTTAGGCAAGGTAACATGGTTTTGCAACTACCTTCTGTTTTCTTCCAGTAGACTTTCACTTGAAGTTGGTCATCTTGGAAAAAAGGCACTCCAATTTCAAGAAGACGATTAAGTCTACTTCTTTTGAAGAATGAAACATCAGTGGCTTTACCAATGGTAGATGTCCATTCTTCTGTAAAAGAAAATATTTCTGAAAATTTTCCAGTTGCATAGATTGGTGCATAACAAAAGTTATTCAAATCATATTTGAAATGCATCTAATAAGAGATCACTGGATTACAAATAAAAGAATAAAAATGCAATAAAAGGAACAATAATTAATATTTATTTATAAAACAGGAGTAAACATACTTTGCCAATTGTTGGCAGCTAATTCTAAAAGAAAGTGATTGATTCCAGAATATTTAGAAATTTTCAAATTTTCTTGTTTGTTAAAATACAATATGATCAATCCTAGCTGGTAACCTAGCTATTCTATTTTCAAAGATAGTCCCATACATATGGCATTATATTCAGGTAAACAGAAGATTATTACAGTGTAGATAACCTTTATTCTATTAATTAATAATGTAATAGCAAAACAATAATGAATTCCAGTACTCCGGAATTCATCATAGTAACTCAACATTTAACAAAAATGAAAACAAGTTTTAATAGTGTATCTGTTACTGACAATGCACCCAGAGTCAACCAAATCAAGAGAGTGATAAAGTGTTAAGTTTTATCAATAATAGCCACCACAAAAATGCAAATTGACTAATGTGAAGAAGAATACACTAAAAATAAAGTTAAAGTTATATTGCGGTTGTTTTTTTAGAAATGGAAAAGAATATTAGTTCTAAAACAATATTTTTAAACTAGGTTTCATGATGAAAAAGAATAAACTATTATTAAACAATGAGATAAATTTGCATTGAAATGTTCATGTTATACTATTGAATTAATGCATTAATGTTCAAGGAGCCATAACCATTTAGACCTAATTTACCAAACATAGTTCAGATAATGTGTATATCAATTTTTCATAAGCTAATTATTAAAGCAAAACACACAAGAGAAACACTGCTTTAAAACTGTCAAGCATTATCAAATATGTCCTTGAATTGAAATAGCTGTCATACTAGAACCAGGTCAAATATTGGATTTCAGCAAATCATATATAATCATCAATGGTCATATATTTTCTTTTTTATATATAATTTTTTTTTATTACATAGACAACATATGCACACAACAATAAAAAAACAAAAAGAAAAAAGAAAAAAAACACAAAAAAGAAAAAAAACATCATCACATAGAGCATGTCATTTGGTTACAGGTGTTTTAACATTTATCATTCTTATACATTTATTATTTCATTTAATAGGTTATAATTTAGTATCATTTCTTATTCCCTTACCTGTGCTAATCTATCCTAACTATATTTCTCCCCACACACAGACTTTGTATCTCTCTGTTATATATATATTTAATACACACAACAATAATAATAAAAAAACACCCAAAAAGAGGGGGGGGGAACAAAAAGAAAAAAAAACATCATCACATACAGCATGTCGTTTGGTTACAGGTATTTTAACATCCATATTCTCAAATAATATTTACCATCTTAGACTTTTCATCTAGTATGGTCATACATTTTCTGATGCTGCTTTTACTCAGCTGTAAAATTAAAATATGAAAATCCACTAACAGGAAGGAAAAAAGATGACAATTCAACAGTTCACAAAAATATAAACTCTTATGGGAAAAAAATGAAGAATAATAAAGTAGTGAAAATAATTCTGCATTTTCCAAAGCATATTAAAGAATGAATCAAAGATTAATTGTGAAATAAGAAAGAAAGGGTGCCCTCCAACTGAATGTAATTTGATGAAACTATCATACATGTGGAAATCAGGGTAAGTGGACCTTGATTAACAAAGGTTTTATCTGCAATGTAAATTGAATACGATCTGCAGCAGGGGACAGAAACTGGTATCTATAAAAAGGAATTTGTTTCAGTAACCCTGGTGTAATATGGATTCAGAGATTGGATGAGAAGTTTTAAAGCAAACACTAAAGGGAACTAAAGGGAACAAAATATGGTGTATCTTTAAATCTGTTTTGTAATCCTTGGAAATAAAATATTTAACATTAACCAGCACTAATCCTAACATTCTACAGTAGAATATTCCTAGTGTACTTAAATAGTGAAGAGACATATGCAGAAGACATGCATTAATTTGCTTAATGTCACAAAAGCCAAAACATCTAGCACTTCTTAATATTTCCAAAATATATGTCAGACTCATGCTTTCCCTATTGTATGCTGTATGTATTTCTTAAGGATTAGATTTATATTCTACTTTTTACTCATGACCCAAAGATGCAGTTTATATAGTGCTCCCACCTCCAACGCCCCCACAAACAGTCTGTGGGATAGTTTGGAGTATGATTGGCTAAAAGTCATTCAATGAGCTTTCATGATTGTAGATAAATAAAACTTTAGGTCTTTCCATTCATTGTCCTTAACTACTAAATCATGTTGTGATAATTATGATTTATTTTTATATTTGGAGAAGCTGCAAATATGTATATATTGTAAGAACTGAACATAGTATTGATTTTCTATATGTGCCCAGACAAAAGATTATTAAATTCACAGTATCCACATCTAAGAAGTATTTCTAACCAAACTGGAATATTCTGGACCAAAGAGAACATACCCAGTAGACTACTTAGGAACGGAATAAAGACATAGAGTTAGAGAGATAGAGAGAGAAAGAGAGACTTAGAGACAAAAACTTTACTATTGTTTTATAGAAACACCACTTACTGTTGCTGACAGTTGTCTGAGTAGAACTAAAGTAGAGAGACACTTTTGCACTTTTCAGACGTATTTGACCCCAGTATGTAACTGCCTCAAGTTCCACCATGTAATTACTATTGGGTTGAAGATGTTCAAGGATCACATAATTTTGAAACTATAATGGAACAAAGTTAAGTTGCATAAATCAATTATGGTTTTGCTAACTCTTTATTCATGTCAGATGCAAATAATAAACAGATAACATTCAACAGTGAGAAAATAAAATAGGTCATAAAATTATAACATGTTTTAAAAATATGTAAAATAAATAGGATTAAAACTAAATGACATTTGCCCAGTATTTGCCCATTTTCTCTCACCAACATGAAGTCTTTCTCCATACACGTTGAAGGACATTGTATGCATATATGAGATGGATTGTTGTTTTCCACATTAACACAGATGTAATGCTAACATTGAAACAATTTAGCTGTTACATATTCTATCAAATGAATAGGCTACTGTTGATCTCTCCTATACCAATTACTGAGGTTCAAGAAAAAGAGTCATTTTATTGACTATAATTATTATTTTTATTAATAGTATTTTCATTAATATTCTGAATTTTACCAGACTCCACATAATGAAAACATATAAGCATTATGTACAATAGGGTATAAAGCCTAGTACCCTAAACAAAGAGTAAAATAATCCTTCTCAAAATATAAAAACAGTAAGAAAAATCAGCAGCAGTCCATTAAACTTTGAATGCCTGCCTGGATAAAACCGCTTTAGCAATTTAGCAAGGAAGTAATTTAAATAATGTAATGTAATTCATTTAATATTTGTCCTTCTGCCATGAACTTCTAAAATATTTTAAGTGCCCATTTCCTCCGTCCTCTTTTACAAAGTGTTCTTCAAGATGCTGTTTGGAGACTGGAAGGCTTCTAACATAAAGAAAATTGAACACACTAGGCAGAAGCAATTGAAACATTTATTTTTAGAATTTCATTCTATTTCCTTTTTTTTTACTTACTCCATCTGTAGTCTTCCTTCTCTTCTTTTTTGTTGGGACAACAGCCTTGCTGCTGACAGTCCAGCTCCAAAAGATTTTGTAATGATGGACTGGAATATCTGGCTCTTCTGGGACATCCCAAATAATCCTTATATTTATACTTCCATCATTGTTTACTGTAGAGTTGGCAATCCTGAGATTAGTTGGAGCAGGTGGAGCTGATGGATCTGATGGGGGAAAAGAGCTTTGTAGGAATTAATAATTTCTTTATAATCAATATCAACATGTTCCAAAGGTTTTGGACAGGAACTCTTTTGCCCTTTTTGACAAATGTTTCAAATAAATGCTTGTTTAATGGTTTAGTGCAAGCATCGTCCTTTTCCAATCCTCTCAAATCAAAACTTCTAGGATGTGATTTGCAAAATTAAAATTGAACTATCAGTGCCTATGCCGAAATGAGCTTTCCCATAAGCTAAAGCAAATAAATTAAGAAGTGGGATAGTACACAATTGTTGTGGATTATGTATCATACAGAAAAAACTTGTTTAATGCAGATCAAAATTTCTATTGTTATGTTCAGGACGCAATTTTAAAGATGGGTGGTTTGAGTCCTAGTACCTACTCCAATAAGCCTAATTTGAGGCAAATATTATTTCTTTCAGCACATTTGGCCAATCCAAAACACATTAACATAAAGTTGTCCTTTGAGCCACTGATTCAGCTGATTAAGATTTATGCACAGCATGAGTGAATATAGGAAATGCAACAATAACTCAACCACAGATTCTTTTTGTTCCATTTTGGTGCTAAAATATTGGACACATTAAATAACAAGTGGCAGATATATAGAAGCTTCCTTACTTGAACTTGAACCTAAACACAGGGGATAGGGAAGAAGTCAAGGAGGATTGTGTAAATACAGCAGAACTCTTCACAGTTAACCCAGTTATAAGGATCTTTACATGAATCAACTGTGGAGAAGCAGGACTGATGGAAAGCAGAGGTGTTCGTCCATCCTATTGGCTCAGAGGACCTTGATCTGTCTGAGCACTATCATCATCGCAACCCTTAAAAAGTAAAATATATCACATGTGGGGGGAATGTTAATGGTCTGTACTAAAGTAGTGAAAGGGAACAAAAGAATAAATAAATTCACTTGGCAATCTAGGTGATTCAGGGGGAAATGGAAAAGTCATTTACAATAATATATGTAACATCTGTTTAGCTATAAGTGAAATATTTTTAACACTTTAAATTAAAATGTTTCTCTTCAAATTACAGTGAGATCACTAATTGTACTTTTTAAAAAGCTGCAAATCTAAACTACAGAATTTATACCATAGATAAAGGTTCTAAGATATTATAGCATAAGCAAAGTGATAGTGGTTGTCTGTCAGAATTGGTATCCCCAAAAAAGTACAATATAAAAATAACTTACAGGGAAAAAGATGTGAGTGTTAGAAATGGGTATCTGTTCATTCTATTTATGCATAAGCATGAAAATACATTTAGCATTGGCATTTATATAGTATGAAATCATTGCTGTTAGCTACATCTACTATGTTTTTATGAAAGGTTTTTTTTTTAAAAAAAATGAATAGTACAAACCAGCATTTAAAAAATTCAGGAAGCATAGCTCCAAAATGTATGCAGCAATTGTCATGTGTATTGTCATACATCTTGCAAATATAATCCAATTTTGTTGTAAACAATAATTATTACAGAAATGTTTGCATTGTCACATGATGCTATACTATTAAATAATTCATTCATATTCAGTCTGCATATGAATAGAGAACTGAGTTCCCTTTTATCAATATTCACTGATTCATATCAGGTTATCTAGTGAAATAAAATTTGCCATACAGTACTGTACATTAGTCAACTATAGCACATCTCTAAGATTAAACTAAATTTAATCTTCCATTCTCATGGAACTGGAACTGTAAAACTTACTACCCACAGACAAGGAAAAAACATCAGCAGAGTTAAAGGTAATTCTAAATATGGCAGTAATACAACCAACCCATACAGGCAGAACCCATTCTTAAGGTGACAGCAACAAATGAGTTCAATAGCATGCACTGTTAGGAAATTGGGAAAGATGGAATTAGCAATGGAATGGGAGGGGGGACTTAGACAAAAAGAAAAAGAAAAGAGCGAATAAGCCTTTTTAGGATTCAAATTGAGACTTTAAAATGCCATAGATACTGAAGCGAGAGTTGGCCACAAAAATTGATTAAGAAATCCAAAGTGTAATGAGCATTGAACATCACTTGTGCCCTTCCAAAAAAGAACAAGGGGAAGAAAGAGCTCACTATTTGGATTTGGATTTAACTTTATTTGTATGCCGCCCTTTTCCCTGAGG